TGCAGCAGGAACTACTGGAAAAGAGCAGCTCGCTTTTCCCTGGTTTGTTAAACTGGCAGAATGTCACTTTAGATGTGCTGCTATCCAGTTTGTCCCTGTCTAGGAAGCCCACCTGAGGTGAGGTCCACACAAGGGAAGGCAGGCCAAGGAGCAGAGACAGAATCCTGTGACACATTTTGGGCACCCAGATCCCGTTGTACCTAAAGCCAGGGCTACTGCCTGGACTTATAATTACATGAGCGAATAAATCTTTATTTCTTCTTCTTTTCTTTGGTTGTTTCTTTTGTTTTTTCTTTTATGTTTTTAAATATCTTTTTTTTTTTGAGACGGAGTTTCGCTCTTGTTACCCAGGCTGGAGTGCAATGGCGTGATCTCGGCTCACCGCAACCTCTGCCTTCTGGGTTCAGGCAATTCTCCTGCCTCAGCCTCCCGAGTAGCTGAGATTACAGGCACGTGCCACCATGCCCAGCTAATTTTTGTATTTTTAGTAGAGACGGGGTTTCACCTCATTGACCAGGGTGGTCTTGATCTCTTGACCTCATGATCCACCTGCCTCGGCCTCCCAAAGTGCTGGGATTACAGGCTTGAGCCACTGCGCCCAGCTTAAAAATCTTTTAATTATTTTTTTGAGAAGGAATCTCACTCTGTCACCCAGGTTGGAGTGCAGTGCCGTGAACATGGCTCATTGCAGCCTCAACCTCCCATCTCAGTCTTCCAAGTAGCTGAGACTACAGGTACACACCATCATGCCCAGCTAATTTAAAAAATTTTTTGTACAGACATGGTCTCCTGTGTTGCTCAGGCTGGTCTCGAACTCCTGGCCTCAAACAGTCCTCCTGGCTTGGCCTCCCAAAGTGCTGGGATTACATGTGTGAGCCACTATGCTTGGCCACATGAGTGAATCAACTATAAAGCCAATTTGAGTTGGGTTGCTATTACTTGCTGCCAAGGAGTTCCAATATACGAATCTTCTGAGGTCATAAGAAAGCCTGTCTGCCAAAGTTGTCTGAGTACATCTATTAGCCAGGTGGCTACAATAACGGCCATCATGTATTGCTGGATTTGGTGCTAATTGTTTAAATATTCATCTCATGTCATCCTGTTAACGCCTTGTGAGTTGTTACTGCCCCATTCAGGAGACAAAGACAGTTGAAATTGATTAAGAAACTTTCTCAAGTGAACATCACTAGTGTTTACATTGGAATTGATTGCAGGCTGCGGTCTCCAAAGCTTACACCATGCTTAACTGGCATGGTATAACTTCCATGTTAATCAGGGCTTAGTTGCAAACAAAGTAATATACTCTGATTAGTTTAAGCAGACCCAGAAGTTACATAGGCAGGAGTGTCCACCCACACTGCAGTCCTCCTCTAGGGAAGCCCGTCTCAGTCACAGCAGTTGGCACCACTGATGCTTGGAACTGGGTGCCAGGCATACCAACCCTGCTGCTGCTGAAGATCTGGCCAGGTCCACTAACAGGCTATCACAAGATGCTTCTGGGAATGCCAACTTCTTCCTTTTTCTCCCTTGGAATACCGATTGCATGTGGGTGCATCTGACTGGCAGAGACCAGGCCACAGACTTGTGCTCTAGCAGCAAGGGAGCCTGGGAAAATGAGTTTTGCCTTCTATCTTTTGAATCAAGAGGCTCAGTGGTCATAATCTGACAAAACAACATCTTTGATTCCAGAAATCTTTTTTTTTTTAATCCAAAATGTGTTTATTGAGATGGTTTCCCACTCATCTTGATTCGGAGTGCTTTTAGTGCTGCTTCCTCCTGAAAGAACATCCTCCTGTAAGCCTTGCTTTTCCTCCTGGAGCTGGCAGAGGACAGTGGAGCAGCCAACACACAGAACTACCGTTTGTGCCTGGCTGAAGACCGGGGTGATTTTACAGCATCCTGGGCACTTCACATCCATGGAGTAGGAACTGGGGCTCTGCACCAGGCGCTTCTTCCTGTGTTTCCTCTTCTCTTCTGGAGAGGGATGAAGGAGATCCTTTGCGAGGGGCATGTTCTCACGCGTAGGTTGTCACCGCCGGAAAAGAAACCTTAATCTCGATTCTGTTATTCTTAATGTTAGATTCTAAACTGTGGTTTGACTGTAAACATTTTAAATTTTAAGAATCTCTAGAAATGTCATGTTTGGGCCAAACCAAGTTTGATTCTCATACTTCAGAGTACACAGAATCACCTGGGCAGCTTGCCCAAAATAGATGGCCCAACCCCCAACCTACAGATGAAATCAAAACCTGATTGGTTGGGCATGGTGGCTCACACCTGTAATCCCAGCACTTTGGGAGGCTGAGGTGGGTGGATCACTTAAGACCAGGAGTTCGAGACCAGCCTGGCCAACATGGTGAAACCCCTGTTGTTACTAAAAATACAAACGGTAGCCTGGTGTGTGGTGCATGCCTGTAATCCTAGCTACTCAGGAGGCTGAGGCATGAGATTCGCTTGAGCCTGGGAGCTGGAGGTTGCTGTGGGCCAAGATCACACCACTGCACTCCAGTCTGGGTAACAGAGTGAGACTCACTCAGTCTCCGAAAAATATCTCCGATAAGGTTAGGGCATCTATGTTTGTAATAAGCTCCCAGGGGATTCTGATGAACATCGAAGTTTGAAAGACATTGATTCTGCTGACAAAACTGGTCATCATTTTTGTTCAATCATGACCTTCCATTTGCCTAAGCCTAGGCATTACACAGTTCTGGTAAATACTCAGTAAAGATGCAGCCCCACTGCGTGTTCATATATGCTCACTGGAAAGATTATAAATGTGATTTTAAAAAGCTCTTTATGATTTGCTGGTAGAAGGAAATACTCTGAAGCCATCTTTTCACATCATTTTCTTACAGGCAACACAGTATAATGGATTGATGAACATCTTACAAACGGACGGGTTAAGAGATAGTTTTGAATCTTTATTGATAAACTGTCATTTGACGGCAAACATTTTAAAATTTAAGAATCTGTTTTCCAATATGACAGTTTTATTAACCAATATACAAAGCTGTTGGGGAAAAACACAAATTTAAATTCAGTTAAAATGAAGACTGAAGAATGATCACAATTTCTAGATTTATTTGCTGGTCGATATTAAAAACTGTATCTGTACCTGTTATAAAAAGCGGCAATCTTAGGCTGATGATTAATTGCTTTTGTTAAGTGTGTAGTGTGAGTCGGGTGTTATAGTATTGTTTATCCTTAGCTGAGCAAAATGTGTTGCTTTCAGCCATCACCTAGAACGACAAAGTCATCATGTTATAAACAGAAGCAACTTCATTTGTTCTCTTGCACCCCGTGATTAGAAAGGAACACGTGGATTTTCATCTCAGAGCTCTGACTGTATGACGATAAAACTGGTAGTAAATCCCTTGTCACACAGCCTGTTTGGCAACATTACCCCATCGTAAAGAAAACAAATGGAAGCTCCACAGAGGACAGGACAGTGGGAAGTAATCGGAGGTATGAATATGAACTTTGAAATGCTTCTTTTCAATATTCTTGAAATTTGTCCAGATCTCAAAACAGTGATGCAGCTTTTATTTGTAGCTTTTCTTGTTTGTCTTTCGTTTCTAGATCTGCATGACTTTGTGGCTTTTTTATTTTTATTTTTTAGAGACAGGGTCTCTCTCTATCTCCCTGGTTAGAGTGCAGTGGTGCGTTCATACCTCACTGCAGCCTCGAATTCTTGGGCTCAAGTGATCCTCCTGCCTCAGCTTCCTGAGTAGCTGGGACTACAGATGCATGCCACCATGCCCAGCTAATTTTTTAATCTTTTTTTTTTTTTTTTGTAGAGACAGGGTCTTGCCATGTTGCCCAGGTTGGTCTTGAACTCCTGGCCCTCAAGTGATCCTCCTGTCTTGGCCTGTCGGAGTGCTGGGATTACAGATGTGAGCCACTGTGCCTGGCCTTTTGTTTCTTTTTAACATTCTTTTACCTACTGTTGTCTTTTCTTTGTCAGCAAATACAGAAACTGGTATCTAAAAGTCAACTTAGTTCCTTTTGAAATTACCTTAGCTGCCAAAGCACAGTTATCTACGACTTCAAAGTAACATTAACTGGTTAATTCCCGCAAGGAAAATAATCATAAGGTAGAGACCACCCTTTGTAGATTATCTACAGCCCGCTAGTACTCCCGTCTTGTGCTCCCTCCCTTTTCAATGTTCTGCATTTCTGGGGCATTCAGTCATCTTATATGGCCCCAAGTCAGCCAGGGACAAGGACCTTATAATCTGACTATTCCTCTTAGGGACTTATCTGCTTTAAAAGGTGCTGAAGAGAGGGCAAAGTGCAGTGACACTGAATTATCACTGGTAGTGGAATCTCGAGCACTGCAGCAGCTGCTTGGGTGAAGGATGAATGCTTTCAGGCATTCACTCAACAAAGGGACAGTCCATTCTTCATAAAGCAAGTATTGCTGGTACTGGTGTTTGTTGCTATGCTACATGAAGTGATTATATATTTAGGAATATATAATGGAAAAGCAGAAGATACAACAAGGGAGAGGGGATTATTTATAGGAACACGTGTAAGTGCAGTGGTTCCTTTTTAAAAATTTAGTTTCTATTTAGAGACAGGGTTTCACCATATTGGCCAAGGTAGCCTCACACTCCTGGCTTCAAACAATCCTCCCACCTTGGCCTCCCAAAGTGCTGAGATTACAGGTGTGAGCTACCTTGTCTGCCCATAAGTGCAGTGGTTCTTAAACTTGAGTTTACAAAGAATGGCCTGGGATAAGTGTTAAAAATGAAGATTCTCCGATTCTAACCCCAAAGATTCCTATTCAGGAGGTGTGGGCCTGGAGATCTGCATTTAAGTGAACTCCTAGGTGACTCTGGGAGAAGTGGTTAAACGGTTACAAATTAAGAGACAGACTGATCTACTGTGTTTTTTAGTCCCTCAGTAAAAACATGCTACGACGTCCAGAATTCTAAAGACTTGACTAATAATTGTTGAATTCAGCTGGTGCTATTCGGTTCTTAAAAATAATGTAAATAACCCTCAATAATTAGGCCCAGGAGGAAACAAGTAATTTACAACTTCTGAGAAAGACAGCCATTCTTTAACATTTATGGTTTTGATGCTGCAGTACAGGCTCGATGTTCAGCTCAGTGTATCAATGTTCCCACATACAGGGTGTTTGCAGAGCAAGGGCCTAAGAGTGAATTCACACACACCTGGGGAATTCTGAAAGGCCAGCAGGGAGACCTTTGGTGTGAGAACCGTCTGGCCAACTCCAACGTGATGTTTATAACTCGGGTGAGTAGTATTCTCCATTGGAGGCTGGTGCAGTGGCTCAAGCCTGTAATCCCAGCACTTTGGGGGGCCAGGGCAGTTGGATCACTTGAGGTCAGGAGTTCAAGAATGGCCTGGCCAACATGGTGAAACCCCGTCTCCACAAAAAATACAGAAAATAGTCAGGTATAGTGGCAGGCACCTGTAATCCCAGCCATCAGGAGGCTGAGGCAGGAGAATCTCTTGAACCTGGAAGGCAGAGGCTTCAGTGAGCCGAGATTGCGCCATTACACTCCAGTCTGGGCAACAGAGCAAGACTCTGTCTCAAAAAAGAAGTATTCTCCGCTGGGAAGCTTCCTTTCACGTCCCAGGACTGGGTTAGATGCCCTTATATAGGCTTCATAGCATCAGTGGCAAGACCCAACCCTGAGCCATCTTATTTCTCACATTATACCAGCCATACCGGTGTAGTTCTTCAAACACCAAGGAACTATTGCTTCAGGGCATTTGCATATGTGATCAGTCACTTTTGACACTGTTAGCTTCTTTTTATTTTTTAAGTTTCAGCTTAAATGACACATCAGAGACTTCTTGTGACCCTAACTAAAGAGAACTGCCGTTCTCCACTACTTGTTCTAGTCTCTCACTACCTGTTTTCTTCCTAACACCTATCAACAAGGTGCAATTACTTCATCGTTTTTACGCAGATCTTTTTCTGCTCTCCCCCTAGCATATAAAAATCACAAATTAAGGAATCTGCTTTACTTACCTGTGAATACCATGTAAGTGACCAGCACAGTATCTTCTCGCAGGTAGGAGGACTACGCCTGCCTGGCTCACCACTGTGTTCTTAGCACCTACCACATACTGAGGCATTGAATACATTAACAAACATGTAAGTTCCTCAAAAATTACTTCTTAGAGGGAAATGATCTGAGAAAGCAAAGGCTCTCTTTCTGACCCCACGTGCTCAGGTTCCTATCATTCAACGCTTAGCTTTTAATGTTGCAAAGCATCGCTTTTGGTCACTTTCAGTTTGGGAGGTAGACAGACCAAACCAAACCAAAAAAACTCATAATTAAACAATCCAGAAAAAATCCTACCCACTGTTACATGTCCTGTGATATGAGGAACAATGGAATCTGGTTGTAACACAGTGCCATCGTGCTCTCATAGCATTTCCAGTTTGTCTGCCGTGTGTTTCTAAATAAACAAGTATCTGTATAGTTACATTAGGATAATGAAAATCTGGCAAGCGCGTTGGAGTTAAAAGTTGTTGTTGTTTTTTACAATAGCCTTCAATGACCTGGTTGGCCACAATAAACCTTTACAGAATATTCTCTCAATACTGCCTGCTTCAGAAAAGCTAATACTGTTAAAACAAAACCAAAATAAAAACTACAATTTCTCAGATATAGATAAAACTTTATTTACACATAAAAAATTACACTTCAGGAATTCTGTTTCTATAAAGTCTCAGGAAAGCTGAAAATGAAAAGGTTGAAAGGGGCAGTGAGCAGCTTTTTAACTGTGCCCTACTGCAGTCACAAGCAATTTTTTAAGCTGCAGAAAACACCTCTTCTAAGTAGCATGAGCTTTTGAAGCTGCAGACTCAAATCTCACAATGGCATCAAAAGCCAAAGAAAAATAAAACAATACTCTGAAATAGAAGACTTGGCTGTCGATGTTGTTTGGGGACTATCTCTAACCGCTTTCTATCATGGGAATTCTTCCTCTCAGGTGTAATTCAACACATAACTTTTTTCTAATAATACCTATCGCTGCATGGAAAGTGAAAAGAGAAGTGATGAGGGCCTCCTATAAGTTTAACATTGACATTATCTACCCTCAATAAAGACAAAAAATGTCATGATGTTTTGGGATCAAATGATTTATACAATAACTACAGATATATTCTGAAGCAGGTAAGCCTTGGTACCACGCAAATCTCAACCTCACTTCTAAATAAATCGTTAATTCAAAGAATCATTCAGTCTTAAAATGATAAATTAAATGGCAAGTGACTGCTACATCTAAACCAGATTAAACATTCTTCGATCAGAGCTTTTTTTTTTCCTTTTTAAGAGCAAGACAATTCACTATGCTGTGCCCGACACAAAGAGGATTTCATTTATCTGCGAAGACGTCTTATTAGGGGTGCAGCCACCATCTCTCTTTTTTTGTTCAACGCTCTTTACTTCCACACCTGCTAAACCCAATAACCCCACCATTTACTTACAGGTAATGTGGTTACTATTTGAAACATGTAAATCTATTGAGGATGACAATTTAGAGAGCGGGACAAAATCATATAATTTCAAGTATTACAAACTTAAATGGCACCTGGTAAGAACATTAAAAGTATCTACTCCATTCTATGAATGTGGTGTTACTCTTTTTTCTTTTTTTAAATATGGGTCGCTTCACCAATTTTCGTGTCATCCCTGCGCAGGGGCCGTGCCAATCTCTGCATCGTTCCAATTTTTGGTATATGTACTGCCAAAGTGGGCACCGGTGTCACTTTTTTTTCTCCTTCATTTCTAAATTTCAAAAGAGGCCACATTCCCGTGACACTTGGCCAAGAAATGTAGGAGATTAAAAAGTTCTTATTGAAATGTGTCCTGCCAGATGGACAGGAGACTGGGGTTCGGTGAGGCCTCCTGCAGCTTCGGAAGTGGGGGATGAAATAAAGAACACCTTTCCGCGCAGTAACGACTTTGGCCTTTTGCTGTCCGTATTTTTGAATTGGAATTAGTCTCTCCATGGGGCAGAACAATCTCTGAAACTGGGCTTACATTTTGTGAAAACTGTCCTCAGGTTGGCACAAAAGAGCACTAGCTCCAAGGCCAGTAAGGAGCTAACTCCTGGAAGCATTAGGCGGAAAGCAGAGGTTTCTCTTTATGCCAAGGTCATGGTCACTCCAAAGGTGAGGCATGAAACAGTAACCAGGTAACACAGAAATATCCCTATTCTCTTTAAAGTAGGAAAACAAACCGAAGTCAGTCTCCAAAGATAACATTTTTACTTTGAAAAATACAAATGTCTCAAAAATATATGTTAAGAATTTACATAAGGAAGAAGAGCTAGAAAATACTTTTTCCTTTCATTGGGAAAAACTATAACAAAATTAAATGAATGCAATGAAGATACTCTTGTACAAAATTTTGTGTTCAGAAAATATTGCTCATTAAAAATGACATTTTCAGTCAAAAGGTAGCTCTGTTCAATTTTGAGTAGACAAGAAACTTTTTAAATTTGCTTAGGAGAATGACTCATCTTTTTAACAGCAATGCTCCTTTAGTTCGCTATGATTTACACTGATGCTATGGAAAAAATATATTGTACTGTTATTATCAGAGGAAGAATAATTTGTGCCATCATATAAACAGTTTACTCCGTTTTCATAAAGCCATGAACTGGGAATCAGAATCTTTTTCCATTAAAAATTTGTGTCTCATCGAAACTAGAACACCAGTGGGACGACTGGGACTAATCTTCAAGAACATGTGACTCACAGAATTGGCTTGGATTTAACGATGGTTTCACAGTTTAAGGAGAATTTCTCATCTTATACAGTCATTAGTTTTAGAGGTGGTGCTTAAAGCATTACAAACTCAGGGGGGTTATAATGATAAATTTCCCATTTCCATTTTTGTATTCAGGGATTAATATTTTTCTATTCATAGTCGACATAGAAGATATGATCCCCATAAATTAGCTACAAACGGTTAAGTACAGTATATAAAGGGGTAGAGTGAGATCATCCCGGAGCACAGTTCCAGGGCTCAGAAAGCTTTGGTTGAGATCGTAGAGACTGAGTCTTGCAGATTTCGCACTGTTAACAGTTAATGGCACGCTTGTCCCGACTGCTAACTTCTCCCCTAGAAATACTAACTACTGAAGGTGGAAAAACCAAAACCGTTTTTCCTTAGCACGTGAGATAACCAGAGATCTTTCTGACTTAAAAACAATTCAAGAAATGAAACAAGTAAAAAGCCCTGAGTGCTAGAACAAGCAAACGGATTATAAAACAGACAACACTCCGTACCCTGTTTTCCAGTACGTTTGTATTCACTGGCTGCAGGTTAAAGGGGAAAAACAAGCACTTTCAAAGTCACGTGTTTACAGGAAGCACTTGACACCCTCACTCCAGAACACGGTGGGTGTATTTGATGAGGAGACCCAGGCTGTGGTAGAGAATCGGCGGTCAGTCCTGATCAGACCTTAGCGGGTACTTGTGAGACACCACGAAAATCAGGGGGAATGGAAGCCTCTTAAAATCATTATTGAAGAAAAGCCCACACTTCCACGGAAGCTAAAGGCACAGAGAATATTCTGTTCCACATAAGAAAGAGTTTTATGTTTCCACATGACCTTAAAAGGACACACAGAACAAGGCAAATTTGTGTGGCTTTTAAGACTAAAGTAATCTCTAACCTTAAACCAAAAACAAAGACGGACAAAGAAAATTCTTCAACTTTTCTTCATTGCACAGGGAAATCCCCCTGAGGTAAAAATAAGAAAACTCAGTAAGTTGGAAATACTCCTAAATTTAACTATATTTTCCTCAAAAATCAGATTTGAATACTGATATAGGTTTCATACAATTAAAATCAGATTTGAATACTGATATAGGTTTCATACAATTAAAATCAGATTTAAATACTGATATAGGTTTCATACAATTAAAATCAGATTTGAATACTGATATAGGTTTCATACAATTAAAATCAGATTTGAATACTGATATAGGTTTCATACAATTAAAATCAGATTTAAATACTGGTATAGGTTTCATACAATTAAAATCAGATTTGAATACTGATATAGGTTTCATACAATTAAAAACCATAAAGGTTTTAAGAAGCAACCTCAGCTTTTGTGTCATTTCTTTTCTTCTTTTCCTTTTCTTTCTTTTTTGAGATGGAGTCTCTTGCTCTTGTTGCCCAGGCTGGAGTGCAGATCTTGGCTCACTGTAACCTCCGCCTCCCGGGTTCAAGCAATTCTCCTGCCTCAGCCTCCTGAGTATCTGGGATTGCAGGGATGTGCCACCATGCCAAGCTAATTTTTATTTTTAGTAGAGACAGAGTTTCACCATGTTGGTCAGGCTGGTCTCTCAACCTCAGGTGACCCACCTGCCATGGCCTCCCAAAGTGCTAGGACTCCAGGCGTGAGACACTGTGCCCAGCCTTTTTCTTTTTCTCTGAAAGAGATGAGGTCTCATTGTGTTGCCCAGGCTGGAGTACAATGGCACAATCACAGCCCACTGCTGCCTCGAATTCCTGGGCTCAGGGATCCTCCTTCCTTAGCCTGCTGAGTAGCTGGGACTACAGGTGTGCTCCATTGCACCTGGCTAGTTTTTTTTTTGTAGATATGGGATCTCACCATCTTAAGCAGGCTGATCTCAAACTACTAGGCTCAAGTGATCCCACCACATTGGTCTCCCAAAGTGTTGGGATTACAGGCGTGAGCCACTGCGCCCAGCTTTATGTAATGTATTAATCACTATTCTGAACCCTTGTCAGATTGGGCTATGGATGAATATTGCAATAGTTTTGAACCTTAACTTACAGGGGACCTTTCTAAGCAATAAACATTTTCTAGTTGGGATTCTGTTTAACATACATACTACCAGCAAGCCTCCCTTCTTCATCTTTAATAGAGCATGCATACTCACTCAAGCATCAATCCACACCTTCCTTTGCCGGTTCTCACAAGCTGAGTTTTTATTTTAGCATTTTAAATAGCAATATCCTTTCAGGTCATTATGAGGGAAAGGCTACTTTTCTAGCAAGCCGTATTTTTCAACCCACAAGGCTGACTCTTCAAAAATCACAGTTTACTTATAAAAAATATATAATTTTTAATCTATTCTAAAAAGAAATAGATTTCAGCACAATTTATTAAAGACAACAGTATTTAGAAAAGTTCACATGGATCAGTATTAAAATATACCTCACTGAAATATACTTACTCATAAAAACATATTGCCTTTGCCGTGTGAAAACCTGCTGTTTAGTTCTCTAGATTTTTTTATTAGGGCTTTTTTTTGAGCTTCATCAAACCGATTAACCTTGAGGTCCTTATCACGGTCAAATGGTATCCTCTCTTGAGGGTTGTTTTTGTCTTCAGCAGCCTTACTCTTTAGCTTTTTATGATGTATGTCCATAAGAGATTCTGATCTTTTTGATTCCTGCAGAGAACAGGAGAGCAAAAATAACCGTAGATTACTGATAGAATATGATCCTGAAACGGGATAATTAGATAGTAATGGTATACATTGAGGAGGGCTATTTATAAACCCCAATGGTTTTTTTCCCCCAAATTCCAGACAGCATTTATAAAGAAAATACGTCATGAAAAGCATTATGGTTATTTAAATATTAGACATCAGAGTACAAACCAAGAACGGGGTGTGAAAGAAAGAGCAATTATATCGTCACTTCTTAGACGTGCTGCTCTCTGAAGGCTATATGGATGGATAGGAAGGGAAGGCACTGCCAGGATGAAGCAAAAACAGAGGTAAAAGACAAGAGCACAGATGTGGCAAAATTCAAGAACAGAAAACTGAAAGGAACAAAAATTAGCCATGGAACATGCCAGCATATCCTTTCAGTGTTCTGCTCTGTCTCCTTCTCCCTTAACTCCCTCATTTTTCTTTTCTTCTTAGCTAGGGTAGGTGTTCCCATTTTCAGATGTATTTAGTAAGATAAGGTCTGAGCAAAAACAATTGATTTAATAAACTAAGGATTACAGACCTCTGAGTATTGACTAAGGTAAAGGACAGAACGGTCTTGGATGGAAGGAGCAGGGAGGGGGATGGAAAAGGAGCTACAGGGAGCACAGATCAGCAGCCTTCAAACTGGGGAACTGAGTTTGTGGAGGATGAAGGCATGGGTAATTTAAAGGCTATTTTTCCATGATTCTCTACTTCTTCATGTCAAGTGATTTGGCCTAGACTGCATCTAGTGAAGGTGCCTTCCCTTTCACTATAGCCCTTTCTCATTTAACAAAGGAGACTACAAAGTATTGTTTAGGAAAGCAACAGTCTTCAGGGTATGAGACAAAAAAATCTGAAATACTAATCAAGAAACTGTAAACACAGGACGGCTCTGTGTCCTGTGTCTGAAACACATTTCTCCTAAGAGTGTAGTGTCTTTTGTAAACGGGAATTTATTGAAATGTTCTGAATTCAGATATATTGGAGAGTGGGTAATGGAAGAAAAGACATGTTTGCTTAGCAACCATACCTCTTCCAGGCCCTTCCTGCTGCCAAAGAAAGTATTTGTGGGGGAGGGAGTGAAGAAAGCTCCGTAAAAGCAAAATAACAAGGCACCAGTAAAACATGCTGAAAGTGACAGTATCTTATTCTATCCCGAAGGTGACACAGCACCTACATCAAATTCAGAGTGTTATATGAATGATCATTAATACATTTATTCGAATGGAAAAAATGAATCAGAAAGTAAGTCTGGTCTAGCTGACCTGACAACCAGAATGACTTTGTCAATTAGGTTATGCGACAGACATGTCTCGTAAATTAACTGAACTCAATCTGGAGCCACAAGCCTTTCGCAGAATGTACAAAGATACATTAGTGAATATGTATTTAAATGAGCACTATTCGCATTTTCCTATCCCTGCTCAGTATACTGGGTTAAACAAAGCACCCCTTGGTTATTTTATAAACATTGATAAAGTCTTGAGAAACGAACTGATTAGCAAATCAAGTGCTTTCCGATTCTTTATGTTCCACAAAACTGAAGGAGGCAAAAAAAAAAAAAAAAAAAAAAAAAAGTATATATATATATATATATATATTGCTAAGAAAAAATAGGTAATCAAGGCTGGGCGCAGTGGCTCATGCCTGTAATCCCAGCACTTTGGGAGGTGGAGGTGGGTGGATCACCTGAGGTCGGGAGTTCGAGACCAGCCTGACCAACAGGGAGAAATCCCGTGTCTACTAAAAATACAAAATTAGCCGGGCGTGGTGGGATTACAGGCATACCTATAATCCAAGCTACTTGGGAGGCAGGAGAATCACTTGAACCTGGGAAGTAGAGGTTGCAGTGAGCCGAGATTGCGCCATTGCACTCCAGAATGGCAACAAGAGTGAACTTCCGTCTCAAAAAAAAAAAAAAAAAGAAAAAAAGAAAAAAGAAAAAATAGGTAATCAATACATGGAGCATGGAGAAATAAAAACAAGCTCCAAATTCAAAAAATCTGCGTTGCAATGATGGTCCTGATGCTTTCAGCACTGGTAACAATGGGCAAGTCTGCAGTCTCACTTCCCCAGCTGCGTAATGGTAGCGGTCATTATAATCTCTAAGTACATTAGGGAGAAGCTCAATGAGCTACTGAACACACAGGACTTAGTGCAGTGCTGGCCCTGATGCTTTCAGCACTGGTAACAACGGGCAAGTCTGCAGTCTCACTTCCCCAGCTGCGTAATGGTAGCGGTCATTATAATCTCTAAGTACATTAGGGAGAAGCTCAATGAGCTACTGAGCACAGAGGACTTAGTGCAGTGCTGGCCCTGATGCTTTCAGCACTGGTAACAACGGGCAAGTCTGCAGTCTCACTTCCCCAGCTGCGTAATGGTAGCGGTCATTATAATCTCTAAGTACATTAGGGAGAAGATCAATGAGCTACTGAACACACAGGACTTAGTGCAGTGCCAGTCCTGATGCTTTCAACACTGGTAACAACGGGCAAGTCTGCAGTCTCACTTCCCCAGCTGCGTAATGTTAGCGGTCATTATAATCTCTAAGTACATTAGGGAGAAGCTCAATGAGCTACTGAGCACAGAGGACTTAGTGCAGTGCCGGTCCTGATGCTTTCAACACTGGTAACAACGGGTAAGTCTGCAGTCTCACTTCCCCAGCTGTATAATGGTAGCGGTCATTATAATCTCTAAGTACATTAGGGAGAAGCTCAATGAGCTACTGAACACACAGGACTTAGTGCAGTGCTGGCCCTGATGCTTTCAGCACTGGTAACAACGGGCAAGTCTGCAGTCTCACTTCCCCAGCTGCGTAATGGTAGCGGTCATTATAATCTCTAAGTACATTAGGGAGAAGCTCAATGAGCTACTGAGCACAGAGGACTTAGTGCAGTGCTGGCCCTGATGCTTTCAGCACTGGTAACAACGGGCAAGTCTGCAGTCTCACTTCCCCAGCTGCGTAATGTTAGCGGTCATTATAATCTCTAAGTACATTAGGGAGAAGCTCAATGAGCTACTGAGCACACAGGACTTAGTGCAGTGCTGGCTACATAAGAAACAACAAATGCTACATGTTATTTACCGAGCATTTACTACGGCCTCATACCATCTCTGTAAATGTTACTACTTCCATCACATAGGCTTGGAAAGAATGAGAAAACTCATTCATAGAATCAATGTGAAAAAAGTCAAAGGAGATTCTAAAGAACTGACGGTTAAGAAACTATTAACAGTTTTTGTAAATAGATCAATATGAGGTTAAAGAGAATAACTCAAACAGTTCAAAGAACAGAATGATATCGCTATAACAAAATGGGTTCATTCTCATTTACTTCTTTTTTTTTGTGAGACGGAGTTTCGCTCGTTACCCAGGCTGGAGTGCAACGGCGCAATCTCAGCTCACCGCATTTACTTCTTTATCCAAACTTGGTTTCTCACCTCTTAGAAGTATAAGAGAACACAACTGATGCTAAAACTTGTCTTATATTTTTTTCTTTTATTTTTATTCCAATAGCTTTGAGGTATAAGTGGACTTTGGTAATATGGATGAAACTGTACAGTGCTGAAGTCTGAAGCTTCAGTGCCCATCAACCAAGTAGTGCACATTGTAGGAAACCTGTCTTACTCCGGCAGTGAGTAACATTCACCCAAGACCAGGAACTAACAAGAAAAAAGTATTTCATTAAAAGAGTAAGTAAAACTTGCATTTTATTTTGTAGTTAATAATTATTTACCATTTTTTTCCCCAAGTCAGAGTCTTGCTCTGTCGCCAGGCTGGAGTGCAGTGGCGTGATCTCCACTCATTGCAATCTCCATCTCCTGGGTTCAAACAATTCTCCTGCCTCAGCCTCCTGAGTAGCTGGTATTATAGGCATGCACCTCCGCACCTGGCTAATTTTTGTATTTTTAGTAGAGACCCAGTTTCACCTTGTTGGCCAGGCTGGTCTCAAACTCCTGACCTTGTAATCTACCCGCCTCAGCCTCCCAAAATGCTGTGATTACAGGCATGAGCCACCACATGAGGCCCTTATGATGAAAATTTTTAGATGTCAAGTTAAAAAATACACAGTTTTAGGGCCAGGCACAGTGGCTCACGCCTGTAAGTCCAGCGCTTTGGGAGGCCGAGGCTGGCAGATCACCTGAGGTGATAAGTTCAAGACTAGCCTGGCCAACAAAGTGAAACCCCATCTCTACTAAAAATCTAAAAACTAGCCAGTATGGTGGTGTGTGCCTGTAGTCCCAGCTATTTGGGAGGCTGAGGCAGGAGGATCGCTTGCATCCAGGTAGAGAGCGTAGTAAGCTGAGATTGTGCCACTGTACTCCAGCTGGGTGATGGAAAAGAGTGAGACTTGGTCTCAAAACTCACACACACACACACACACACACACACACACACACACACACAGAGTTTTAGGGGATACCAAGTAAAAACATTCGAAGGACACACACACACACACACACACACACAGAGTTTTAGGGGATACCAAGTAAAAACATTCGAAGGACACACACACACACACACACACACACACACAGAGTTTTAGGGGATACCAAGTAAAAACATTCGAAGGACACACACACACACAAACCCACATACTCTCACAGTTTTAGGGGATACCAAGTAAAAATATTTGAAGGTCTCACACACACGCACAGAGTTTTAGGGGATACCAAGTAAAAAAATTTGAAGATTGCTGGTCTCCAACACTAACTGGCTGAAAAGAAATATAGATTCTTCAGTCCCATCATAGATATAGTGAATCAAAACTGCCAACTGTGGGTCTCAGAAACCTTGCTTTTACTACTCAAGTTCTGATAGAGGTGATCCACTGGATGTGGAATCCACTTGTAGCTCATTCTTTCTAGCAGTTTCGTATTAATAGTAGATAGGATGCCAACACAAAGGAGTGCAGTAAGGTTAATTTTCGGATGGAAAACCATGTTTGCAGCATTCTATTTATGTATAAATGTAAAAAAGCTAACTCTCTTAGCACCATTTCTCCACATTTCTCCTCCCTTCCCTGGCTTTCCCATCTTTCCTTGCTAATGAGATAATAACTCCTTAGTGAGGTAGTAATGATGAAGCTTGACAGGCTAACAAGAGTTGTTAGGGGAAGGCCTAAATATATAACAAAAAGCTGAAGAAAATAGAGAAGAAAGTTTGAGCAGAGCGTGGAGATATAAGAATGGAGTTGTATGGACCTTAGTACTTTACCTAAAGGCATTACTGAGGAAAATGATTAATAATGATGAGCAAAATTGTGTATAAGGTAACAAAAAGCAAACGAAAATGGAGAACTAAAGATGGCAGGTTTCAGTGTATCAATCCCTTATATTAGTAAGTTAAACATCAAGAGAGACAGAGGAATACATTAAATCACTGGACGATTACTATACAAGCAATGAAAACAATTCAAGTGCTCAAATTCATGATGATAAAAGAAATAAAACTTTACTATCAGTCGTTTCAGGTGTACTCCTGTTGGTCTGATTTGGGATAATTTGCACACTGTGACACACAGAACCAAACTAGTGCTAAATTATAATAAGGTAGAAACACCTAGAGGCAGTCAATTCACTGAAGATCAAAAGCTGAAACTGATGTAAGAGATCAATGTGCTGGGCCGGGCGCGGTGGCTCACGCTTGTAATCCCAGCACTTTGGGAGGCCGAGGCGGGTGGATCACGAGGTCGAGAGATCGAGACCATCCTGGTCAACATGGTGAAACCCCGTCTCTACTAAAAATACAAAAAATTAGCTGGGCACGGTGGCGCGTGCCTGTAGTCCCAGCTACTCGGGAGGCTGAGGCAGGAGAACTGCCTGAACCCAGGAGGCGGAGGTTGCGGTGAGCCGAGATCGCGCCATTGCACTCCAGCCTGGGTAACAAGAGCGAAACTCCGTCTCGGAAAAAAAAAAAAAAAAAGATTAATCTGCTAAATTACTAATTTGCTGATTCACCATAGTTAATCATTTAACACAAATGCTTGCATTTTCTAACAATTTACAATATTTAGAGCATTTTTTATTTATTAAAAAAATTTTTTTAGAGACGGGGTCTTGCTCCGTGCAGACACTGCCGTGGAGTGCAGTGCTGCGGTCATAGCTTACTGTAACCTCACTCCTAGGCTCAAGTGATCCTCCAATCTCAGCCTCCCAAGTAGCTGGGACTGTGAGTTTATTTTTTACCTTTTTATTTTGGTAGAGATGGGGTCTCACTATATTGCCCAGGCTGGTCTCTAACTCTTGGCCTCAGGAGATCCTCCCTTCTGAGTCTCCCCCAAAGTGCTGGGATTACAGGTGTGAGCCACTATGGCTAGCCAAGAGCAATTCATTTTAGAATAAGATGGGTCTGTGATGGCTTTTGAAAACGAATGCCAAACTTCTTGATGGATTTTTATTTTGTCTTCATTGAAGTATTTTAAAAACTGCCCGATTTATCAAAAGCTAAGGTTTCTGGAGTGGTTTAGTCTTTTTTAAAAAATTTTTTATTTTTTTTCTCGTGTCATCCTTGCGCAGGGGCCACGCTAATCTTCTCTGCCCCGTTTCGATTTCAGCGTATGTGCTGCTGACGCGAGCACCAGTGCTTTAGTCCTAAGGCTATTAATACTTTGAATAGAAAGTCTCTGGAATTTCATCTTGAGTAGAACCCGAATTTTTTGGATGTATTTTAAAGTAAATTGTAAACATCACTACCTGTCCTCCTAAATACCGAAGCATGCGTTTGAGTTCAATATTTGTTTATACATTTTTCAGATAAATGTACATATGATGAAATGCATAAATATTAAGTGTATAGTCGGTGAGTTTTATAGCTCAAACTTCAATCAAGATCTGGAACCTTTCCATTGCCTCAGGCGTAGGAAAGTATGCTCCTTCCCGGTCAGACTCCATACCCTCCTGCAACTACCAGCATTCTAAGTTTTTCCACCTTATGTTGATTTTGCTTATTCTAGAGCTCCACATAAACACAGTAAGAAGTAAGTACCCGCCTGTGTTGAGACTTCTTTCACTCCGAGCTTCATCCATGTTTTATTTATTTGTAATGTGTTCCATTTTATTGGCGAGTAGTTTCATTTATACCTGAGTTCAGTTTTCTCTTACTGATAAACACTTGAGCTGCTTACTGTATTTAACTATTACAAATGAAGCATCTGTGAAATTCTTGGATAAGATTTTTGTTGCTATTAAGAACAACATATTCAACTCTTTGTGTGGATATGTTTTAATTTTTCTTTTTTATTTTATTTATTTATTTATTTTTTCTTTGAGACGGAGTTTTGCTCTTGTTACCCAGGCTGGAGTGCAATGGCGCGATCTCGGCTCACCGCAACCTCCGCCTCCTGGGTTCAGGCAATTCTCCTGCCTCAGCCTCCCGAGTAGCTGGGATTACAGGCACGCGCCACCGTGCCCAGCTAATTTTTTGTATTTTTAGTAGAGACGGGGTTTCACCATGTTGACCAGGATGGTCTCGATCTCTTGACCTCGTGATCCACCCACCTCGGCCTCCCAAAGTGCTGGGATTACAGGCTTGAGCCACCGCGCCCGGCCTCATTTTTCTTAAGTAAATACCCAAAAGGAAAATAGCAGGGTACATGTCTGTTTAGTTTGGTAAGAAATGCCAGTTCAGAAAAGGATAGCTCACTTATTTTCAGCCATTGGTCTTTTCTTACATAACTCGTTATGGCTCTAAATTTTCCCTCTAAATACCACTTCAAATGGCATCGCACCCATTTTGATATGTTGTATTTTTTGTCATTCAGGTCTATGTTTTCTAACTTCCATTATCATTTTTTCTTTGATGCAAAATTTAAATTTTTGAGTTTTTCTGATTTCCAGTTTTTAAGTTATTCTGAACCCAAATTCAATTCTTTGTGGTCAGAGAATTTGGTTTGAATGATAGTAATTCCTTCAATTTTGTTGAGACTTGACTTTTGAGGTAGTAAGTTTTCATAAATACTCCAAGTGGGCTGAGTTTTTGGTCAATTTCCAAAAATGTTTTAAGCATGCTTCACTGTGGTACTGGTCAACATATATACAATAAATCACGCTAACTATATTTTAGAGCATGGAATTTTCTTTAGTTAATATACTGGGAACAGAAAATAATTTTCCTAAATATCTTTCAGGGACCAGTGGGTTCAGGAATTTACATTTATTCTTTGAGCTGGGACATTTATCATTGCCCTTTTGTGCAGGCACCATCCAACAGTTACCATTTTTTAAAAAGACAGAATATAACAAAATAATATGCCAAATGAATACTGACCATTAAGTTTGTAAATTTAGATTGAACTACATTCAAAAAACATTTTTTCTCCCATATTTATTTATATACAACTTTCCAAATCTGCTTATAATTTAAACATTTATAAATGGAGGTGCTCCGTGAGTGAGTAGGGTTCTTGCTTTCTCTCATCAAGTGCTACCCATCATCTCTAGTAATTAGATTTCTGCTAACTTAACAAGTAAAATTTGAATTGGAAGACACAGAAGAACTTTATAAAAACACATATATATGTCGCATATATATTTTTATACATCCATCCTGAAAAGTTTTTTTCAGGATGGATGTATAAAAAGTGCATGGTTTTGGGAGGCCGAGGTGGGTGGATCACGAGATCAAGAGATCGAGACCATCCTGGTCAACATGGTGAAACCCCGTCTCTACTAAAAATACAAAAAATTAGCTGGGCACAGTGGCGCGTGCCTGTAATCCCAGCTACCCGGAGGCTGAGGCAGGAGAATTGCCTGAACCCAGGAGGCGGAGGTTGCGGTGAGCCGAGATCGCGCCATTGCACTCCAGCCTGGGTAACGAGAGCAAAACTCCGTCTCAAAAAAAAAAGTGCATGGTAAAGAGGCAGACATATCAAAGAAAGAGAAAAAATACAAAGAAAACTAAAAGCGGAAAAAGGCTATATATTTTGTTTCTGGCTTTTTTTTTTTTTTGAGACAGAAGGCAGGGAAGGCCTTCAAGTGATCTTCCCACATCAGTTGGCGAATTAAAAAAACTTTTTTTAGAAACGAGATCTTGATATGCTGCCCAAGCTGGTCTTGAACTCTTGGCCTCAAGTGATCTCCTGCCTCAGCCTCCCAAGTAGCTGGGGTTCTAGGCAAGAGCCATCACACCTGGCTCTTTACATCTTATTTTCTTACTTACGTTATATGAAGATACCTGCTCAGCCAGTCTCTTATCTCTTCCTGATAATATATGTTCTTCTTCCTTCTTATTGGATGACTTCCCTGCTTCTTGTGTTTCCTGAGGAGTGAACACAGATAACACACTACTGAATCATAAAGTTAAGATAAAATAAAAAATATTATTGTTGCTTAGATTAAGTAACAAGAGACACAACCAAGCCAGGCTTGTGAAATCCCTTCTGATTAGAAATATTAACATACTTGGTCAGGCATAGTGGTTCATGCCTGTAATCCTAGCACTCTGGGAGGCCAAGGTAGGTAGATCACCTGAGGTCAGGAGTTCAAGACCAGCCTGGGCAACATGGTGAAACCTTGTCTCTACTGAAAATACAACTGTTAGCCAGGCATGGTGGTGGGTGCCTATAATCCCAGTGACTCGGGAAGCTGAGGCAGGATTGCTTGAATCTGGGAGGCAGAGACTGCTGTGAGCCGAGACTGTAGCATTGCACTAGCCTGGGAGATGGAGGGAGACTCAGTCACAAACAAACAAACAAACAAACAACCCTGAAATATTAACATACTTGATAAGGGATCAGTAACTGCTCTAGTCTATGATTTTCTTGAAAACAAGAAAAAAAAATACCCCAATCAGTCACCCTATGTATTGAACTTCTATATCTCACTAACAATGGTGAGATACAGAAGTGAAAATAGGCTTAAAAATGAACACGGATAACACACTACTGAATCATACAATTATAAAATATCCTACATTACTGCTTTCAAAAATAATAAAATCAGCACGGAGGGAAAAAAAAACAGAGAAAAAGAAATAAAAGGTGTATATTTTGAAAAAAAAAAAGCATTTATTCACAGATCCTAGCACTATGTAGCAATTACAGACTATGTAGCAAACTCCAAAGAATTTACCAGAAAAACTCCTGGAACTACTAAGTAAGTATCGCAAAGCTGCAGGATACAAGGTCAATATACAAACACAGCAGCAAGAGGCCGGCGTGGGGCTCACACCTGTAATCCTAGCACTTTGGGAGGCAGAGGCAGGTGGCCTGCCTGACCCCAGGAGTTTGAGACCACCCTGGGCAACATGGTGAAAGCCTGTCTCTACTAAAATACACAAATTTAGTTGAGTGTGGTGGCAGGTGCCTGTGGTCCCAGCTACTTGGGAGGCTGAGGCACAAGAACTGCTTGAATCTGAGAGCCGAAGGTTGCAGTGAGCCGAGATGGCGCCACTGTACTCCAGCCTGGGTGACAGAGCAAGACTGTCTCAAAAAAAAAAATATATAAGAAACTGGAATTTAAAACAAAACTATCATTTCTATTAGCACACATGAAGTGCCTAGTCTAACATATTTTAATTAGAAAAAATGTTACAGTGATATTCTAGAAAACATGCTCCCAACCAGGAATGGGGACGGGTCATATAAAAACTACTGAAAACCACTGGTCTCTAAACGTGCGCGCACACACACACACACATATATAATTTTTTTTTTTTTTTTGAGATGGAGTCTCCTCTGTCACCAGACTGGAGTGCAGTGGCACAATCCCAGCTCACTGCAACCTCTGCTTCCCCAGGTTCAAGTGATTCTCCTGCCTCAGCCTCCAGAGAAGCTGAGATTACAGGCGGCCACCACCACGCCCAGCTCATTTTTGTATTTTTAGTAGAGATGGGGTTTCACCAGGTTGGCCAGGATGGTCTTAATCTCTTGACCTCATAATCACCCTGCCTCAGACTCCCAAAGTGCTGGGATTACAGGGGTGAGCATATTCTTATATTGTTTTTATTTGCTTAGGAAAACTAAGGAGGCCTCACGGACTAAAACAACACTGTATTTAATAAAGCAAGTTAAAAACATAGAAAGAGCTCATTTCTACATTTTCCCGGAAAATAGACGGTTTTGCCTATAAATATTAAAAGAACAGTGATGTTATGGTGTAATGGAGATAAAAACCCAACCATTTACTACTAAGAGGTAGTAGATATTGTCAAGAGTGGGGGGGGGGGAATAAATAAATAAAAATAAAAGGCTGGGCGTGGTGGCTCACACCTGTAATCCAAGCACTTTGGAGGCCAAGGTGGGTGGATCACCTGAGGTCGGGAGTTCAAGACCAGCCTGAGCAACATGGTGAAACCCTGTCTTTATTAAAAAAAAAAAAAATAAATAAATAAAGAGTGGGAAGCGAGGAGGTAACTGATCTCATTCAATTAATGTATGTAAAACATTTTCATTACTTTCTAAAGAGCAATCTTATTTCTTTGAGGCCACATTGGCTGAATTAATGTGAGAACAGTAAAGGTATGCTGGAAAAACAACTATAAGAAGTAGGATGGAGTGGAGAGAACCTGTCAATAAGGAAATATGGCTAACATCTGTTATAAAAATTAGTCGTGAACTTTACACAGGATCAAAGACAGAAA